TCTGTGTAGGAAAAACGGTATGGACAAAGAGGTGGGTGTGAGGAGTCTATTTAGGAAAATGCAGGGTGAGGTTTGAGTGGCAGCAGAAAGCTGTCCTCTCTGATGTTGCCTGTCCCCCCACAACCAGGACATGGTGCAGTCCCTGTCCTGGAGCCTCTGTGTGAAAAGAAAGCAGGACACACCACACACACACACACCCCTTCGCCCCTCTGGCCCCAGGGCGAAGGCCCCTGAGGCTGCCTTCAGGTCTCACATGGGGGAGGGGAAGGACCTTGCAGGCAGAGGTAAAATGTCAGAGACGTGCATGCCTGTGGGCAAGACAGGTGGGGAGCGCAGGCCCTGTAGGACCTGGAGTCTCCCACCATCTCTGGGGGGTTGTCTTGTAGGCTGTGTATGGGGGGCATGTGGGTGGCCACAGGGCCAGGCTGAGGGAGCTGGGACCTGGCCTGGGGCAGTGGGAGGCCACGGGGCAGCGCTGAGGGGTAGTGACAGTGAGACCTGCGTGCTGTGTGAGCCGGAGTCCTGGGGAAAGGGCCGGCCGGGAGGACAGTGCTGCTGGCGGGACGATGCTGGGTGCTGCCGGGGCAGGTCCAGGGGTGCTGGGCAGGTGAGCGTGTGGAGGAGGAGGCACTCGTGAGAAATAGGAGGAAAATCGGAAAATCCCCAAGCACTGGACATGGTGCTGGCACAGTGAGCGCCCCAGACCTGATGGCCACTGTTAGGTGGACTGACGGTGTCTGAGGCCTGGGGAAGACCAAGGTGGGTGGGCCGAGGGGTGAGCTGCACCGGATGGGCTCCCTGCAGGCGCCTCTGAGGCATAACCTCCCCCAAGGCCCACCGGGGTGTTCTGGGTGGGTGTCCCGACACCTGAGTCTAGTCCCAGGTCCACAACTGGCTCCTTGTATACATTGGGGCAGACCATGCCCCCCGGACCTCAGTTTGCTAAAGCAGAAATGGGGCTGTGAGACGTATATTCAAAGTGCCCAGGATTGGGGGAGGTTGGGGGCGGGGAGGTCAGGGCGGAGGGGGCAGGCAGTGGTGGCTGACAGGATGGAGGAGGGTCGCAGTCTGACTCAGCAGGTCCCTGCGGCTGGGAACAGCGTGGGGGCGGCAGCCTGTGGGTGGTGTGGTGACAGACGCCGGGCTCACGTCTGACAGCCTGCGGGGGGCTTAGGCGGAGGGCGAGGCTGTCAGAGCGCATGGCAGGCCTCCCTGTGGTTACAGCGCTGGAGCATCGCACCCACATGCCGTGCACCTAGCTCGGTGTCTGATGCTGGGCCAGGCGTTGCCTCATTGGGTCTGCACAGCCCCCCGTCACAGATGGGGAAACTGAGGCGGACAGGCCTGAGGTCCTTCAGCAATTCCATGGCAAAGTCAGGATTTGAACTCAGGACCGTCTCCCTCGGGGACTGATGCTGTTTTTCCTGAGCCCCAGTGGGCAGTGGGAAGGGCAGGGGTCACCCGATGTGGGTTGTCAGGGGCTTGGGAGGGATCTACTTTGGCAAATGACTCACCCCTGGCGGAGCCTGGCACGGAGGGGTTGGCAGCTGGTGCCTGGGAGAGATCAGCAAATACGGGGACCCCCCCACCCAAACACACACACACACACACACACACACACACAGGTCCTCGCTGACCTACTTACCAGCCTCTAAACCAGAGCTCTGCCCCGGCTCGGTGAGCTGCTGGCACAACTGGGGGCCATGCCCAGCGCCGGGGCTCCTGTGACCTGCTCTCGGATTCCATCCCTCAAGCTTTTAATGAGGCTTTGGACTCAGGCAGACCTGGGCCCAGACACAAATATTTAATTCCCCCACAGACCACCTGGGAGACAGCAGGCCTGGGAGACAGTGGGTATGGGAGACGGCGGGCCTGGGAGACAGTGGGCCTGGGAGACAGTGGGCATGGGAGACAATGGGCCTGGGAGACAGTGGGCATGGGAGACAATGGGCCTGGGAGACAGTGGGCATGGGAGACAATGGGCCTGGGAGACAGTGGGCATGGGAGACAATGGGCCTGGGAGACAGTGGGCATGGGAGACAATGGGCCTGGGAGACAGTGGGCATGGGAGACAATGGGCCTGGGAGACAGTGGGCATGGGAGACAATGGGCCTGGGAGACAGTGGGCATGGGAGACAATGGGCCTGGGAGACAGTGGGCATGGGAGACAGTGGGCATGGGAGACAATGG